AGTCAAAATAACCCCCAAGGAAATTTCCTTTTATGGGTAGAGAATAACACAATTCTTTAAGACATATATAAGAAAAGAAGGGATCATTGCAACCGAAAGCCACTCGGAAAGAATCATGGAAAAGAAATAAGGGCACACCCATAAGCATATATTTCATTTAAGCCCTTTAACTGTAGGCCTCAGGTGTACCTATCATCATCAACATCATATTATTATTTCAGCCTGATTGCCCCTAGAGTGCAAGACCTTCTCTAATCCTTTCCTCCCTAGCTGTCTGTCTTTGATCATGTGAGCCCCATCTGAATTTTGTATCATGTACACCCAGCTTCTTTTGCAAGTTTTAGTACTAATAACTGGTTAACAACTTCACACATATAATCATTGTTATTAGGACACTAGCAATATGACCATCAGCAAGCCATCAGCCTTACACAAGGGCAGTGTCATGTCGTCGTCAGAGAGCCGGTATATGGCTTTTTCTTGCACCACAGCAGTGGTGCCAATTTCTATTTTAATTTCACATATGAGTGCAAATGGATAGGATTGCTTTCCTGCACTTTGAAAGGGAGGCAACAATATACCCATCCATGAAAGGAAGAAAAAGACGAAGGGATACTGTTATTGTTTAGTTGGCCTATGCTGTTTCTTCTTTCTCTTTGGCCTAGAGAAAAGGGAGTTGTGCACCAATTGCAATGGAAAACATAAGTATGTGTTAGTGTGGTATTAGGATTTTGATTGTCATTTCCACGGTGATGGGCAGAGCATGCATCTCTGGTAGTTGTTGGGACACATACTAAAAGTTATGTGCTATCTGTGTCATGTGGCCACATCTGTACTAGGGATTCCTGTGTCACAAAAATATGTACTAGGGATTCCTATGTCACAAAACATGTACTAGTTATGTTTGGCATATGAGAATTAATTGTTTTGAAATATATTTTTGGATCAGAAATATAAAGAATATATGCATATATATGTCTCGAAAGCTACTTTTGTAGTATTGTTGGGTTTTTACAAATATATATATTAGTACTACATAAATTAGTTGTCAATGAACCATTTTACATAAACATTGATGTCCACCACGATATGTTTTTATGACCAGAAGTGGAGGAAGTAATAGTTCTGCATATATTTCTGTGAAAACAAATATTTTTCATATACCTGGCTTGTTTGGTTTGTGTTTCCAAATTCGTTCTCCAATAAAATTTTCTTAGGAACCACAAAATAATTTAGCTTTTCGAAAGGGGGCTACAATTGCTCTTTAGACACGTCCTCACCCACCGTCATCCCTTCTTATCTGCAAAATTCCTAATTGACAATTTTGTACAAAATTCGAGAGAACATATTGAAAGAAGATTGTGTAAGTTGACCCTACAATTGATATGCCAAATCTCCCTGATGTTGTCGATGACTATGGTAATGCAAGGCACTTTTGTTGTGGGGTTGTGGGGTACAGAGAGGGTGATCCCCCCATGACCTAGGATTTATATCCTAATTATGGAGGAGAGCTAGGAATCAAATGCCTCCACAGTGGACACACCACAGTACGCACTAACACACCCAACTGTTTTTATTTCCTACAAAACCTTTTGTGTGATATTGCTTTCTTCAGGTAATACAATTTTCTGTGTTACAACTAGCTAGCCTTTAGTAAATGCTAGCCATGCCTAAGGGAATAAGAAGAAATTGTAGAGAAATGACAGTTCACCACATCATGACAATACAAGAACAAGTACACATATCAAGGAAAGCCCCTTTGATGCAGGGTGTATGTTTAGATTTGGTCTCCTGGAAATGGTATAGCTAGATTTGTCATAAAATATTTTTTAATACTTAATAATTTATACTTTTTTTTACACAGCTACACATCCACAACAACAGAAGGTGATGGAGTGATGGGTCATATTGGAGATTGTACCAAACGCTAAAATATTTTTTTCCTGCTAATACATAAGGGGAAAATGAAGACTACCCAATGTTATCCAATGTGGCTAAAACATATCTATGTATGTATGACACCTATTATATAAAATTTGATAAATAAATATGTAGGCTTGACTTTAACACTTTCTAATATATTCTGAAAATTGCTAAGATCTCTAGCATCCATCAAACAGTGGTTGAAGTAGCCATGAGTAGGGAAGGGAGGTTAAACAACCTCCTAACTAGAAAGTCATTGGCCTATCCACAACTTTGAAAAAACCTTACCCATCAGCGAATTATCAAAATATATAGCAGCGCCAAAAAAAAACACTAGGAGAGTAGGGAGGCACCACCAATCAACAACATATCCTCTCAAAGATTGAGGCCCTACCAGAATCCTATAGGGCATTGCATGAGAGGCCAATCTCAACCCCATCTATCCAGTCACCAGTCATGGTCCTTCCAATGGGAAATGTAAGCATCCATCCACCTATCCACACCACAGGGGTTGCAATCTCTTCTTGTGGCTGAAAGGGCAGTGACCCCTTTGGCCATCACAAAGGAGAAGTTAGGGTCCCAACAGAGAGGTTGACATGAAAGTTACACTAGAAGAAGTAACAAATGTTGGGAGTCCTCATGCTAGTCAGACCTATATCATCTAGATACCGCGCACCACGTTCCTCCCTCCCGTCTGATCTCAATCCATCCTATCTAATAGGACATGTAGGTAAATTTATATGGGACAATATATCAACTTCATGGTCCTTTTTAGAGAATATTTGCAACCAAATTAAATATGGTGAACCTTGTGTTGTACCAGCAAGCAATCCACATGGGGACTTCTTTTCTACTATTTGACATTTTAGAGTTTGTATGGTGAAACAATATCCTAAACTATGAAAGTCGAATATGGATGACTTATCAAAATCTATGGGTGCTATAAATTCAAGTGATGTGAAATTACTTGAGTGAATTATCAATGCCAACTCAAGGATCTAAAAATAAAACAACATCAAATTAATAAGAGAGGGAGTATCTTACATCACTGTAGCACATCTTGACCTACAACCAACCACTAAAAACTAAAAAGACATGCAAAATTTATAAGACCAATCACTAAAAAAAATTGTCAAAAGTACCTTAAGCAAAGGATATATTTGTTGAAATATATATTGGAGGGCCAAAAGGTGGAAATAGACGTTTCTTGCCCCTCCGTCCCATCCTCATTAAATCATTGCTTTTTTGAGAGAGTGTCCTTCACACAATCTTGCCTGCAAAAACCGGGGCCTGGCTTGAAATCGATTTGATGGGGCAAAATCGAAGCAAGAGAGCTCAGCAAAACCAATTTTTTTGATAGGAACACACAAAAAGAAATTAAAACTCCCCTCCCCGTTGTTCATATCCAATGATGCGATACCATCATCTACTGATAATTATGCTTGTGTTATCATTATTCTGTTTAAGTTCGAACGATGACTAGTTAGCAACAATAATCTCCTCCAGTTGAGCATTTCCTTGCCCTTAAGCCTTTCGGTGTCAGTTCATATTGGCAGGTCCCTGATTGAAAAAAAAAAGAAAAAAAGAAATGATCCTGCGTGTGCATAAAAACCTATTCGTCCGATCTAAGTTTGAACAATATATCATAGTAGTTCCCTTCATGATTCTCATACGATATGATTTCTATTTTCCCATCGAGCATAAGCACAAGATATTAGAAGTTCTTCACAAGAAAAGCGAAAGCGTGAATTCTATTATCATAACCTTTTCACTAGAAATACTTTGTATTGAAGATTTCCTAGACTTAAATGTTTTGCAATGAAGGTCGAATTATACAATCCTCGGTGGTGAAGATAAATAATCCTAAATAGGGTCTTATCAGTTATCATGCTCCACCATGCAACAACTGTGAGTCTGTGACTACCTAAGTTTTTCATGTGTCATTCATCAAATTTACATGCATGTACTCTCAATGGTGGAAGGTTGGCAAAAACCATGAACCAAGTTGGACATCTTGATGTTAGTGTAGAAAAAGAAGATATTTTTCTCACATGAAACAAATAATGATAATTTAGGGAGACATGTCTTTCTAGATTTCTCACCAATATAGTCTGAGTGTAAAATGATATAGAATACGGGAAATATCCTACAAAAGAACTTGGCAAAATGATCATTATGTTTTTTCCAAAAAAAAAAACTAGACTCTAAACCGTGTGGTGCGATAATTACAACATTTTAGGACCTAATTTGCAACACGTGCATGAATTTCATAGAAACATAGAAAAAGATCCCGCGTTTCAAAGAGGCCTTATCCGGTTAATCCAATTCATGGTTGGGACCTGGATGGGGTGGCTGACACAGACCTGGACAGGAATGCGACCCAGGAGCGGCAATGCACACATACCTGGTTGGCCACAATCCCCAGTTGTGCAAGAAACGAAGTGCCTTAACTGAAACTCTACATGGCCAGTTGCCTTCATACACAGTAGTGCCTTCCGCGTCTCAAACACCATGCCCATACGGCCATTGCCGACCAAAGATCCCTCCTTTCTGCTCCAGTGCCTGCCCTTAATAGGTCCCTGTCACACAGCAAGCAAAAGCCAATGTGAATTTCCAGAAGAAAATAAACAGAAAGATGATTCAGCTGTGCTATTCTCCAGTGTTTTTTTCTTCTCCTTTTGCATGTAAAAGATTTTTTTATTTCTTTCTTGAAAAGAAAAGGATTTTCCTTGCAAAGATATCATGGACAGAAAGCACCAAAAAAGTGTCAAACTGTGCTTGCTCTTGCTCACCACTAAAGTTTTTTCCTAGTCCACACCAAATGCCAATATTCCTATTCCCCTCCTTATTTAGAATTAACAAGCACATCAAGGGGGTAGAAAAAGTGATGCATATCATATCACAACAGTGCTCTATCTTCTTCCCTCTTGCTGAGAACTGAAAACAGTAGGTGGCTACTCTCATTGGAGCCCCCTCCCCCATCCACACCCACTACTTAATATTAATAGTTAGTTAATACTCTCTCCTAAACTAGTTTAGTCCTCCTCTAATCACACACACACACCCTAGTGACTAATTAAGCCTCCCCTTGTTAATCCTCCCTCAACCACTCTTTCCTTTTCCTCCCTCTTTGGGAAGAGGAGAAAGACAAGTAGAGAGAAAGAGAGAGAGAGACCACCCACTAATCCTCTTAATTAAGGCTTAACTAAAGGCATAATCTTGTGTTGTTCTAGTCATAATTAAGGCCACTCCCTCCTAATGTGTTAAGCCACACCCTTTCTTCCTCCTCTTCTTCTTCTTCTTCTTCTTCTTCTTCCTATCCCTGTTGCTTCCTGCCCCTCCCCTCCTTCCTCTCTCTCCTCGACGAGGTCTCCCGGCGGCGCGATGTCTGGCGGCGGCGAGGTGTCGGGGAGGGCGCCGCGGCTGCCGAGGTGGACGAGGCAGGAGATACTGGTGCTGATAGAGGGGAAGCGGGTGGTGGAGGGGCGAGGGAGGGGGAGGGGGCGGGGCGGCGGCGGCGGCGCCGCCGCGGAGCCGACCAAGTGGGCGGCGGTGGCGGAGTACTGCCGGCGGCACGGGCTGGAGCGGGGCCCCGTGCAGTGCCGGAAGCGGTGGAGCAACCTCGCCGGCGACTACAAGAAGATCAGGGAGTGGGAGCGCTCGCTGTCGTCGCCGTCGTCGTCGTCGGCGGCGGCGGGGATGGGGAAGGAGGTGTCGTTCTGGGCGATGCGCAACGACGCGCGGCGGGAGCGGCGGCTGCCGGGGTTCTTCGACCGGGAGGTGTACGACATCCTCGAGGGCCGCGGCGGCGGTAATGCGGCGGCGGCGGCGGCGGCGGGGAAGGAGGGGGAGGAGGAGAAGGCGGCGGTGTTCGACAGCGGCCGCGCCGCGGCCGGCGGCGGCGGCGGCGGCGGGGATGATGGGCTCTTCTCGTCGTCGGAGGAAGAGGAGGACGACGACGAGGCGACCCCGCCGGCGACCACCCCGGCCGCTGCCCCGGCCCCACCTCCGGCTCCGGCGCCGGCGGTGCCCGTCCTGACATCCGGTGAGCGCGGCTGCTCCATTCTTGCACGTAAAAATTGAGGCTTTCCTGTGTTCTTGGTTGACAAAAAGAAGAAGAAGAAGGCTGCGAATTTGTGTACTTCAAAGAACTGAATTTGGGGTGTGTGATGGGTGGGTTAGTTGCCTATAAAAATTGACGTTTCGATTGCAAAACAACTGTTCTTTTTTTTATGGTAACAGTTCATGTTATGCATCGAATTTCCCTGTGAGTTCAATCACTTGATGGCTTGATGCCCATCTTCCTTTTTCAGAAAATTTCTTGTTCAGTTCTTTGTGGTGGTCTGAACTCTGAAGAGTTGGAATTTGCAAGTAGTTGTGTTTTTGGTCTTTGTTGCTAACCTAATGGATATTCTGTTTCTTCTGTTTTTTTTTAAAAAAAAAGTGATCAATATGTTTATTTTCACCTGGCAAAGGTTTGTTTTTGGTTGGCTGATTACTGTTTTTGCTCCTGTGGTTTGTTGGTTGCAGAGAAGAAGAGTGATCCACCTAGGCAAGATGCCTCAGAGCAAGGTACTGATAAATAACCGGATTTCTACCTTGCAGTTCTCCCCTTTTTTTTCCCCGCTCACGTTTTGCATGTGCTTCAGCATCCCCTGATCTTCCACAATTTTTTACTGTTCCATTGCTTTGATCAGATAATTCTTGGCAGCAATATTTAAACATTGTGTCACTGCGTATAGTTTAGATATGAAAATAGAAATTAACTAATAACAGAATTGTAGGGAGCCTGAACACAAAAAGAGAACTCAATGGTAATTATCATCCCTAAAAGATCAAATCAAATTATACCTTAAACGCGTGTGTTGTGCCCTTGTCAAATTGTTCTATGAGAGAACTGTATCTGACTTTGCTTACAATACAGTCCCGAATATATGAAGCAATCTAGGACCCAAGGACCTTGGGTGAAAGCACAAACATATTTCTACTAATTAATCACAGGCAGCAATTGTGGCTTGTCTTCATTTGACAACAAAATGAATAAATTGGCAGTCAACAGATTCGATCGTAAAGTTTGTCTGTTGAATTTATTAACATACATGTGAAGCATCAAATTTTAGCAGGTTTGCGACATTCCGAGAAACACTCAGTTTCACGCAGTGCTGGTTCAGAATAAATGCCCAAAATGCAAAAGATGCAGACTAGGAGCCTTTTGTTATTAGTACCAGCGAACTGATTGTATCATTCAGCGCATAGTGACCCTTTTTTCAGAAATTGTATGAGGGCAGTGGATATTCCATCATTAACTTTTGCCCAGCAAGGTGGAAAGCTTCTTTTCAAGTATTGTGATAAAGAAATGAATGGAAGAAGTATAATTATTTCACTGCATTTATCCTGTTCACTTCACCTTTCCATATTACATTATGCTATCTTCCCTACTTGATACAGTACTGAATAAACATGATCAGCGACCTGTTCCTCGCTAGTTTTTACTTGTGTGTTTCAGAGATACTTGTATAGTCTAATATGCAACAAAAACATAAATCAACAGCAGTAGGATACACAGCAGGAGTATTAAACTTCAGGATCACCTCATGAGAAGAAACAAAAGTTATAGTAGCCTTTTTTTTTCTTTTATAAAAAGGGAAATTGTGTTTATCTTGAATTGAAACATTGAAAGCCCCTTTGATGCTAGAACTTTGCACATTCATGCAACAAAGTCAGAAAAACTGCATTTATCTAACCATCTAAATTTCTTGACAGCGGGGACGTCCAGAGCCAAGCAACCGGAACAAATTGTCGAGGACTCACCAGCTCAGGGCGCGCACAAGAGGCAGCGCAGCGACGACGCCTCAGGAGAAGCTCCTGATCTGCAGGGGCAGCTGATCGAAATCCTAGACCGGAGCAGCCGGATGGTTGCAGCCCAGCTGGAGGCGCAGAACATCAACTGCCAACTGGACAGGGAGCAGAGGAAGGACCAAGTGAGCAGCCTACTTGGTGTGCTTGGCAAGGTGGCTGATGCCCTATACAGAATCGCTGATAAGATGTAGCCGCCACTGTAGATGTCTTGAGCTCGGTAAATAATTCATTACTCCCTGAAAGAAGAAAAAGAAGGAAAATGCATGGGGTTATATTCAGAATGTACAGATTGATATAGGGTTCTTTTGCAATTCAGTTTCTCTCTCTTGCCATTGGTTCTGAAGAAGAAAATGAGCTGTTTTTTTCTCTTGGGAGATGTATGAGCCAACAGCATTTAAACGATCTTTTTTATCTGTACATACGATGACCTAACATTGTGTTTTAAGATGGATCTTGGTTCTGAGGAAGTGAGGTCACCTGCAAGTGCATACCTGCAGTCTCATTAGGTTTCTCTGTAACTGTTAAAGTTGTTTTCTGAATGTATAGTGAAGAACTGATAGCGATAGAAACCACTATTTTTGACATGAGAAAGAAAGAGATGATTCAGTAAAGTCAGCTTACCAGTAAAAGTTTACATCAACATCCACAGGACCACAGTAGCTCCCAGTACAAGATTAATTAAACAATAAGTACCACAGTAGAATTATAACTGGTTAGCTCAGATCAGAAGATCAAAGCAAAAGTACATCAACATATCTCCTCAACTTGCATAGCAACTACTCCAACATTGGAACCTCAAATTTGTAGATTGTATTACAACATTAAACTGAAGAGACAAGGGTACCGTCAATTTTACTCATCATCAGTTCTACTTGATCTGTAACGACGGGAGTTCATCTTCGTGTTGGTTTGGACCTGTGGCGGTAACAATGCTTTAGGATCATCTTCATCCATTTCGCATTGCTCAGTTTCATCAGAGGCACCTGCCGCCAGACCAATGAGAGATGAGTTTGCATCATTGGATTTGGGACCCTCATCTACTGTCATTGCATCGATTGTCTTCTTCCGTGGGATGAACGTAACTGAAGTAGGTATCTCAACTGGTGGTGCCTCAGGCTCTGGTTCCATTCTCCTTAATATATCATGCAGGTCGGCAAAAGCTCTCCTGTTAGTTTCATCGTTACATTCTGGAGTGTCCAGAGTGTAACGTGTATACTTTGCAGGGTTCTTAACATAGTCAGGAACCCCAGGAGACTCAGATGGAGTGGATGAGTCCTTCCCTATGACCAAATCCATGGATTGAGGAACCATGGGAGAATCTTCATCCTGTTCAGGCAGCTCTGCCGATTGGTCCTTAACATCAGCAGCAAACTTGACACGTTTCCTTGGCTTTGAATCGCCTTGCTCCTCCTTCCGCTTCAGTATAGGTTTCACGTTAGCATCATCGGTTTTCATTGCTTGTATCCTGCCACTTGGGAATTCATTTGGCTGAGCTAGAGAACACGTGCCACCTTTAGCTGAACTATCGTACTCCTTGAGTCTTGCGGATGCCGCACCCATATCTGCTCTGGGATCCCTTGAGAAGCGGTGGATCTCCTCAACGGAATCATCAAGGATGTCAGGCACCACAGTGTTGATGCTCATGTTAATGCCATCATCCATGATTTCATTCATGTATACACGGTCAAAAGCATCCTCTCTACCAAATGCCTCTCTGTCATACTTGTCCTCTTCTTCCTGAAGGATAAAAATCTTGTTAGATATAACACTCCACAATAACAAACTGTAACCGGCAAAAAGAAAATTCTCATCCAGAATCTGGTTTGAGCAATTTAGCGCTCCATTAAGTCAGGCCACATACTGACTAAATGTATGGATGTAGTAACTTTCTTTACAGCTCATATTAGAACTTAAGTAGTGAAGAAAATAAAAAGGTGTTCCCTTTGAAACGACGACTATATTATTTGTTATATCAGATTCAGCTGCAGAGTTTCACTTGACACAACCCCAGCGCAACAACAGCACAGGCAAAATTTAGCATGAATAAAAGATCAGGCCATGGCTACAATACCCCCCCAATCATCTCTAATTCTCCATTAGAAATGAACGTGGCTAAGAGAACCGATGAACAAACCTACAGTTGAAATGTTTCAATTGTGTGAACTCATAGACTATATGAACATAACAAAACAAGCAGTTGATCCCCTCCTAATCCACGCCCTAATCTAGTCTAGACTAATGAAATGGTAAAGTTGAACTACTAATCGTGTGGATTAATGAATAAAATAAACAAATAAACAAGAAGAGCCAAAGTGATTTTTAACCCTCTCACCTCTCGATCCAGAGTCGGGTCGAGGCCGATGGAAACCCTAACCCCCTCCTCCTCGTCCTCCTCCTGCTGCTGCTTGCCGCCGCCGCCACCCCTCTCCTTCTCCTCCTCCTCCTCCTCCTCGTCTTCTTCATCGAGGTCGCCCTCGAACTCCTCCTGCTTACTCCGCCGCCGCCGCCGCGTCCCCGCGCGGAGGCACCCGTTGTCGTCGTAGAACGCGGAGGCGCAGGGCGTGTCCCCGCGGTCGGCGGCGTCGGCCCCCTCCCTCGCCTCCTCCTCGTCGCGGGCCTCCGACGGCTTCGCCCACCGCCGCCGCTCCACGTCCCCGGCCGCCACCGACCACGACGCCGCCGGGAAGGACGACCCCGGCACGTCGTCGAACAGCCTCGACCCGAACAGCCGCTTCACCCGCTCCTCGAACCCCTCCCCTCCTCCTCCTCCTCCTCCTCCTCCCCCACCACCTCCCGCCGCCATCTCCCCCCCCTCCCCTCCTCGACCTCAACCACAACCTTCTCGAAGCTTCTCGAAGGTTCGCCTCGCCTCGTTTGGATTTGTACAAGGGTTTGGGTTGGGTTGGGAGATGGTCGGTATTTGAGCCGCGCAGGTTGGAGGCGGTTCGCCTCGCGCTCGGAGTGGGCCTCCGAGTCGGTGACGATATGGCCGGCCCACCGCACAATTGAATGGGCCATGGGCTTTGGTCCTAGGCCCGCATGGAGTTAAAACAAGCAACAGTAAATTTCAGAGAAAACTGCAATTATTTAAACAAAACTATCACTTAACCACAACGTTAACTTTATATTTTTCACAAAATTGCAACAATAGAAAAAAAACATTTATCAGAAAACTGTAACTTTTTATGCGCTATGTACATATGACATGTGGGTCCAACTTGACAAACCATGAGTACTACAAATATATGTAGTACATGTTAGGCCTAATTTTACAAGACAACCAAAGCTTGCAATATTCCGATAATACTTTCTCCATTTCAGAATATAAGACTTTCTAGCATTATTCACATTCATATATCATATAGATATTGTCGAGATTCATTAACATTTATATGAATATAGACAATGCTAGAAAGTCTTACAATATGAAACGATATGAAACGGAGGGATTATCAGTTGCAGTTCTCTATAATAATAACTTTAATTTATAGAAGTAATTATTTTATCTTAAAATATGAGGGATTGTGATTGGATATGACACATTGCTGGACAGGATTGTACAGTTTTGTTGAAAGGAATAAGTTCACCGGCTGTCCCTCAACTTTACATCGAGATTTTTTGAGGTCCCTTAACCACAAAACCAGAAATCTCCACCCCTAAATTATACGAAACCGTTCACTCAAGGTCCCTAGGTAGTATATATGGGTGGTTTTGCTAACGTGGCATCATAGTCAGCAATAAAATAAAATAAAATAAATATGTGGGGTCTACATGTAAGTGAGACAATGGTGTGGGTTCCGCATTTCTTTTTTTTTTCTTTTTCTCTTCTCTTCTCTCCGAGTTCTCTCAAGTCTTGAGTAGGCGCAGTGACAGAGGGGGAGAGAGGTGGCCGGCAGCGGGAGAGGGAGAGAGAGACGGTCGACGTGATAGCGGCGGCGGGAGAGGAGGAGAGGTGGCGGCCGGCGCGACGGCGAGCTCGGTGGTGGAGATGTTCTAACGCGCCGGGTGCTCGACCACGGGCCCCGCCGCCGCCTGCCGACAAGCGGCGCGCTCTCCCCATCGACCCTCTCTCCCTCCCCAAGGCGGTGGGGCTGCTCCGCTGCCGAAAGAGCTGCTGCCTCCACTGGATGAACTACCTCAGCCCCGACCTCAAGCGCGGCAACTTCACCGACGACGACGACGAGCTCACCATCAAGCTCCACGCCCTTCTTGGCAACAAGTAAGCAAAACAAATTTCAACGTGTTGTCATCTGCTCCGGTTAGCTCTTCTTGTGTTCTTGGTGCTGATTGATTGGTTCTGCAGGTGGAACACGCACATCAAGCGCAAGCTCTTGAGCCAGGGCATCGATCCGCAGACGCATCAGCCGGTTAGCGCCGGGACCAGCGTTGCCGCGGCAAGCGAGCTGACTACGACGGCCATCACTGTCGGCTTCCCGTCCCTGGCGGTGGCGCCGGCGCGAGGGAGCTCGAGGAGGAAGGAGGGAAGGCTGGGAGGGGTCTTCCTTGTAGTCGTCGCTAGTGGCGGAGGGGTCTCTGGCGGAGGCCGAGTCAGCGACGGAGGTGAGCTCGAGCTCCGTGTCGAGGAGCGCCGCGAAGTCGTCGTTGCCGGTCGATGGCGACGGGGAGGACAGCGACTTGGCGGTGAGGCTTACGGCCGAGGGCAAAGGGCGTGCTTTGGTTGGCTGGGGTGGGGTGGATGCGCCTCCGTGCTCGCCCACCACCGCTCTGCTGCTCCACCCGTCGCCGCGCTCGCCCATCGCCTCTTCGCTGCCGCACTCGCCCTCTGCTTCTCTGCCCGCGGCCGCTCTCGCCCGTCGCCGCGCTCGCGCTCACACCCGCCGCTCCGCTACCGCGCTCGCCCTCTGCTGCGCCACCCGCATCTGCGCGCTGCTCCGCCTGCCGCCGGCCTCCCTCACTGAATAAGAGAAGGAGAGAAGATAGAAAAGAGAAGAGAAGGAGAAGAAAAGAGAAGAAAAAAAAAGGTACAGCTAACATGTGGGTCCCACGTACTTTTTAATTTTTTTTTGCTGACTAGGTTGCCACGTCAGCGAAACCGCCCATATATACTGCCTAGGGACCTTGAGTGAACAGTCTTGTATAGTTTAGGGGTGAAGATTTCTGGTTTTGTGGTTAAGGGATCTCAAAAAAATCTCGCTGTTAAGTTGAGGGACCTCCGGTGAACTTATTCCTTGTTGAAATAGTTAGTTGACGAGGTGGGCCGGCCCACCGCACAAATGAACGGGCCAACGGGCCTTGGTCGTAGGCCCGCATAGAGTAAAGAAAAAAAAACAAAAGTAAAAGTAAAAAATAAAAGGTAAAGATAAAAGGAGGAAAAGAAAAAAAAAAGGGAAAGCCGGTATATTTGGAGATAACGTGCAGAGGTGGGGAGGGGTCAGGTCAGTCGAGGCGGCTCTCTCCTCTCCTCTCTCTCCTCTTCTTATCTCCTCCCCTCGCGTGGGTGCGTCTCCCCTTCCTCCTCTCCCATCTCCTCCTCCTCCTCCTCCGCCGCCTCCGCGTCCCCGTCCCCCCCTCCCCCCGCGCTGCTAGGGTTGGTGGCCGCCCCCTCGTCGCCGCCGCGGTTGAGGTCCGGCCAGGTGAGCCCTCGCGTTCTCTCTCTCTCTCTCTCTCTTCCTCCGGCCGCGGTCCGGGCTTGTGGGTGCCGGCCTTATCTGTTTGGGTGGGGTGGGGGTGGGTGGTTTCTCGGGTTGACTCCGGCGAGCATGTGGGATGGGGTGGCCGCCGCGGGCGCGTGGTCGATGTAGGGGGGTGGGTAACGGGAGGCGTCCGCCGGCCCGGACGGCCGGGTGGATGGGAGGTGCCTCGAATCGAATCCGCGCGTGATGCGGAGGGGGAGAGCTGTGGTCTCGTCGGAGAAATGGCAGCGGAGCCATTTCGAGGCGACGTGTGCTCCGATTTTTGTTTTTTCTTATTATGTATATAATGATTTGGAGTTTTGGACGTGAGGTCTTCTTCCGTTGTGGGGGGAAGGGAACGTTAGGTTTTCTCGTTGCGGCGATGCGCGGATGGCTTGTGAATCATTCTCACCGCCATGTAGGCCGTGGGAGAAAGTGTTGTTCTCTTAGTTTCATTTTGGTTATGTGTTTGACCTTGATCGATTTTGGTGATTTTGCAGGGATTGGATTGGTGGGCAGGTGGCTCGGGGTTTTCCTTTTGGGGTAGGTCGGTATGGAGGGGTCGCTAGTCCAGTCCGCGATTGCTCCGACCATATACAGGAGGAGCGGCACCGCGCGGTTCCGCGTGCGCGCGAGGGCCACGATGATGCGTACCATGCCAACACGGACCCTCACCCTGGGGGGTTTCCAGGGCCTGCGGCAGACGAATTTCCTGGACTCGAGGTCGGTGATTAAGCGTGACTTCGGCTCTATTGTCGCGAGCCAGATTTCACGCCCCCGAGGGTTGGGGTCAAGAGGGGTGGTCCGCGCCATGTTTGAGCGCTTCACGGAGAAGGCAATCAAGGTGATCATGCTTGCACAGGAAGAAGCGAGGCGCCTGGGCCACAACTTTGTTGGGACGGAGCAAATTCTACTGGGCCTTATCGGTGAGGGCACAGGAATCGCGGCAAAGGTTCTCAAGTCTATGGGTATCAACCTTAAGGATGCCCGTGTGGAAGTTGAGAAGATCATTGGACGTGGTAGCGGGTTTGTGGCTGTTGAGATCCCATTCACGCCTCGTGCAAAGCGTGTCTTGGAACTGTCACTTGAAGAAGCTCGCCAGCTAGGTATAACCTCTCTTTGTTCAAAGATTCAGCTAGTTTCATTTGGTTATAATTGGACACTTTAATTCTTTCCTTATAGCATTTTTTGTCCTGAAATATTGCTTACATACCTCTAGTTTCCAATCAAACCAGCATGTGCTTTGGTTTCATATTGCTATTATCCTGCTCTCAATTTTCGTACTTCACATTAAGTATGCAAAATAATAGTGCTAAATTGGTTGAGAATCTGCATGTGGTGGGTTAATCGCTAATCATGTACAAATATGCTTTCTTTCTCCTATGAATAATTACTGGTTTAGAATGATGCTAGAGGTCTTATTAATATGCATCAGATCTGGCACTGTTTACTAAATTATTAATATGCATATTATTACACTTATACTGTACAACAAGTATGCCAAAAAAAGTGAAAAGGTAACAATGGCATTGTTGTTGACTTGATGCTAAGGTCAAGAAAGTATTCACATTTGAGTTTTGAATCTATGCCTTGTGAGACTAGTTATTTAGAAAAATATGCATGGTCTTTTGTCTAATATTCATCATTTTTTATTGTTCAGGGCATAACTATATAGGATCTGAGCACTTACTTCTGGGGCTACTTCGTGAGGGTGAAGGTGTAGCAGCACGGGTACTGGAAAGTCTTGGTGCTGATCCAAACAACATTCGTACCCAGGTAAATAGCTTTACTATTATGTTCCTTAAATCTTAGCCAATCTACTTTCAGTTAAAATTATGCAGGGAATGACATTTGATATGATGTTCAGGTCATAAGAATGGTTGGTGAAAGCACAGAAGCTGTTGGTGCTGGAGTTGGTGGCGGAAGCAGTGGCCAGAAGATGCCTACACTCGAAGAGTATGGCACTAATTTGACTAAGCTGGCAGAAGAGGTATTTTATCAGACTTGTTTGTGCATTCTCTATTGCGTAGATAAATAAGCAAAGACAAGAAACTAATCATTTTCATCTGCAGGGTAAACTAGACCCAGTTGTTGGCAGGCAGGATCAAATTGAGCGTGTAACTCAAATTTTGGGAAGGCGGACAAAGAACAACCCTTGCCTAATTGGAGAACCTGGTGTTGGAAAGACTGCTATTGCTGAGGGGCTTGCACAACGTATTTCCAATGGTGACGTTCCAGAAACAATTGAAGGAAAGAAGGTTAGCTTAGACCATCCTGTCACCTGTGCATCACCATTGTTTTGCATATATGCATGCAAATGAGTACCATCATGCTGACACTTTTTCCAGGGTTTATCACCCTTTTGGGTAAACTCGCTAATTTCATTAACTAGACAAGTAATTATAGTATAAGTTTGCATTTACGAATAATACTAGCTTTCTGGATAGCTTTCTCTAGTACATTGTCCAGATGTAATTGTGAATTCAACTTTTCACTCGATATCGTGTACTGATGCAACTAATGTTGTTGCATTGGTATTGTGTCCTGACCAGTGAGGACTCAAGGCTATCGTCTGATTTGAATGAGACTTGCACAATTTATAAGATTTTGAGTGGTGTGAAGCTTCTCTTTCTAATTATCATAGTATTGTTTCAGAATACTGATTGGTATTTTACTCGGTTAGGTTATTACTCTTGACATGGGGCTCCTTGTTGCTGGTACCAAGTACCGTGGAGAGTTCGAAGAAAGACTGAAGAAACTTATGGAGGAAATCAAACAAAATGATGACATTATTCTCTTTATTGATGAAGTGCACACGCTAATTGGAGCAGGTGCTGCTGAAGGTGCAATTGATGCTGCCAACATCTTGAAACCAGCTCTTGCTAGAGGTGAACTGCAGGTATATGTGCCTAATTTTGAATCTGTTGCTTCCATGATTATGTTTTTATCATATTTATAGTTTTAATCCGGAGAATGCCTCAAAGCCTCTTGACTCCAGAGACTAATTTGTCCACTTTGCATGTTATCCATGAACAATATATGATTGTTACCTGTTTTTGCCCCTAATTCACCACATTTCTTATGCTTCTGTCTTCAGTGCATTGGTGCCACAACACTTGATGAGTACAGGAAACATATTGAGAAAGATCCAGCTTTAGAGCGACGGTTTCAACCAGTTAAGGTTCCAGAGCCAACTGTTGATGAAACAATACAAATCTTAAGAGGACTTCGTGAGCGATATGAACTGCATCATAAGCTGCGATACACAGATGATTCTTTAATTGCTGCAGCACAATTGTCATACCAGTATATCAGGTTTGCTATGCAGCACATTCTTAGCTAATATGTTTCATCTTTATTAATTTTTGGCCTTTACTGTGGCTATATCAATTCATACCTATTCTTGTTAATTGGCATCATTTTTAACCGTACTATATTTCTCTTGTGCATAGGGATGTTTAGTCTTTTACATATCTGTTTTTTTTTTCTGAAGAGAAGCATATACTTATTTCTGAAATGGTAACTAGGTGCTTGCACAGGTAAGCGCATTGTTTAATGGTCCAGGAGTAGTGTCCTGTGAACTCTTGAGTACTACGATAGTACTTACTGACTTTCACCCTTTATCTGTTAGACTGTCAAAATGCCTTGGAAGATAAAATATATTTTATATTCTGTGCATGATGCTGTTTAGGATCCCTTCCTGGAAGCAAATTAAATATCAGTGATCTATTTGAAGCTGAACAACATAAAGATTGACTTGGATCCATTTCAGATTTCTGGACTAGAAAGGATATATGGTTATAAGTTTGCAAATAAAAATATCTAGTGGGTGTTTGGTTCACTACCACACTTTGCCAAACTATCATGAGGCTATTGTTTGTTTCATTGCCACATTTGCGCTATGCCACAATTTTTTAACCCTAGGATCCAAATATCATGCACTCCTTTTTTTTCTCTTTTTTTGCAAAACCTTGCCTAATTGTTGCCATTGATTTGTTAGCCACACCTTTGGCACGCATGTGTGGCAATGTTAGGGTGTGCACCAAACATGCCCCTAATTTTGCAGAACTTTTGGATGGGATTTAAATTCTCAGCAGTTGACATATAATCATTTGATTTTCAATCTAATAAACTTATTTTACTTTCTTTCTTCAGTGATCGCTTCCTGCCTGATAAGGCTATTGACTTGATTGATGAAGCAGGATCTCGTGTTAGGCTCAGGCATGCACAGGTACTACATTGTATTATTCTATGTTGCAGTCTCATTCACTGTATTATTTCTGTCTAAAGACATGATTCCTTTATGTTGCAGCTCCCTGATGAAGCCAAGGAGCTGGACAAAGAGCTTCGACAGGTAACCAAAGACAAGAACGAGGCTGTACGTGGCCAAGATTTTGAAAAGGTATATAGACTTCTTGCAGAAATCATATAAAGTTCTTAAATGATCTTTTATAGTAAATATTACTGGCACTGCTATTTACTTGTAAACCTATTGAGTTGATTTGGCTTTTTGCACTTTGTGTTGTAAAGTTGCCCAGTGACTCTAAATCATAGCTATAAGCCATCCTTTTATTCCTTCATTCTTGTGCAACTAGAATGTAGGTACTTAGCATCAATTTTGAATCAACTCTATTGCTTCCAAATTTTGTTTCATGCTATCTCATCATTGTTATATCTTGACAGGCTGGGGAATTAAGAGATCGGGAAATGGAATTGAAGGCCCAAATTACAGCCATTATTGACAAGAGCAAGGAAATGGTTAAAGCAGAGACTGAATCCGGTGAAGTCGGTCCCCTTGTTACTGAGGCAGATATTCAGCATATCGTGTCCTCTTGGACTGGAATACCTGTGGAGAAAGTCTCATCTGATGAGTCTGACCGTCTCCTTAAGATGGAGGAGACACTCCATACGCGTATCATTGGTCAGGATGAGGCTGTCAAAGCTATTAGCCGTGCCATCCGCCGTGCTCGTGTTGGCCTCAAGAACCCAAATCGGCCTATTGCTAGCTTCATCTTCTCTGGACCAACTGGTGTCGGTAAATCAGAGTTAGCAAAGGCTCTTGCAGCCTACTACTTTGGCTCAGAAGAGGCCATGATCAGACTAGACATGAGTGAGTTCATGGAGAGGCATACAGTCTCCAAGCTCATTGGATCACCTCCAGGTTATGTTGGTTACACTGAGGGTGGTCAACTGACAGAAGCAGTTCGCCGCCGACCATACACTGTTGTTCTCTTCGATGAGATTGAAAAGGCACATCCTGATGTCTTCAACATGATGCTTCAGATCTTAGAAGATGGAAGACTAACTGACAGCAAGGGTCGGACTGTTGATTTCAAGAACACACTGTTGATCATGACATCAAATGTTGGAAGCAGTGTCATTGAGAAGGGAGGACGGAAGATTGGATTTGACCTTGACTATGATGAGAAAGACACCAGCTACAATAGGATTAAGAGCTTGGTGACTGAAGAGCTGAAGCAGTACTTCCGACCTGAGTTCTTAAACAGATTGGACGAGATGATTGTGTTCCGGCAGCTTACCAAGCTGGAGGTTAAGGAGATTGCTGATATTATGCTCAAAGAAGTGTTTGACAGGCTCAAGGCAAAGGACATCGACCTCCAGGTGACAGAGAAGTTCCGGGATAGAGTTGTCGACGAAGGTTACAACCCAAGCTATGGTGCCAGGCCTCTGCGGCGTGCTATTATGAGGCTTCTGGAGGACAGCTTGGCGGAGAAGATGTTGGCTGGCGAGGTCAAGGAAGGTGACTCTGCTATTGTTGATGTGGATTCAGAGGGCAAGGTGATAGTTCTTAACGGTGGTAGTGGTGTTCCGGAACCACTGGCACCTGCTCTGAGTGTCTAATTGAAGGATAATATCGTCGTTCTGGAATTATGGCCTTTTCTCTTCTCTCAGCTGGGGCGCTCATGATGGTAAAACTAGATGGCATAAATTCTCCCTTCATTTAGGTGCTTTCACTTTTCCTCTTTTTTTCCAACAGAGGCAGTAGGAATGTTATGGAAATGAATCAACAGAGATGCATTTAGCAAACAAACTGTATGCTAGATCTTGAGTTGCTTTTATTTTTAAAAGGATGTCAGAAGCTTTACTCCTTCAAGTACGTGTATTTATTCTTTTGGTAGCAGTAAGATAAACGCTGCACTGTTGTACCTGTACATTACTTCGCACCAGATGGCTTCCAATACTTTTTACACATGGCTGTAACTTACTTTGAAGTGTAGGTAAATGCTACGGCATCCTGGCCACCCAGCAGCATTAATATATAATGATCTGAAATAAGAGTGATTTTTGTTTGGTTTGTCAATTGTCAGTTGCAACTTTACTAGTGACTGTTGCCAGATCAACCAAGGGTGGAAAATTGGAATGTTTTTTAATGACTGTTCTCGTTTGTCATTTCGATTTCGTTTACCATTTGAAGGCATGGTGGCCTGGCAGTCGGTCCTGCCAGATATTTCAGGTTTTCTGTTTTTTTTTTCTTCGTTTTGGTTTTGCGAGGGAAACGATAGCTTTGTGTTCTTGGATGAAATGGTGATTTTTATAAACTCACCAAGGCAGCACATGGTAGTATTCAGTTTTCTGCCTAGCGTGCACGACATATGCTACTACTAATACTAGCGACATAATTTGGATGGCAAACACTCGTTGAGTACAACCAGAACAATGCATACTCCACTTCTTCTGATTACATGTGGGTCACTGGGATTGCGCAAGTGCAAGAAATGTTTTGAATTGCAGTAGTGCAATCAAATTTCTTCCTTTGGAATGGAGGGATTTTAAAATCCTGTAAAATCCATGCGTAGGCAACGTTGGAACAAAGGACAAACAACAGTTAACAGCATGGTCGAATAGCATGTTGCCAACCTTCGGTCACTTGAAGAAAACAGGATCACATGTTCTAAGATTGTTAAACACTAAATACACAGATATAAAGATAAGCCGCAGCGAACGGCAGGTAGAGAACTTATAGTTTCTCGAAAAATTGTCGAATTACATCGGTGAAGTGTGAAAGATCATATGAATATCTCATACTATGACACTCCCAAACATCAGGGTGTTCTGACCAGTGACCATAAACTGGGGCTACAAAACCTTGATCAGTTGTAGGGGCAGGACATCAACCAAGGAAGTTCATGATCACCAAGTGGAGCACCAGATTGCACAGAACGAAATCTGCAAACGCCCTTTCAGGAGGAAGATCCTGCAGATAGTGTTTTGGCATGCGACGTTACGCCAGAATCTCAAGAATTAATGGCCCCAACAGACTAAGGTGAAAGTAGAGTTACCTTGAATTCCTTGTTATCTTTGTTAACTTGAATACGAAGGCAAACTGCACGAAACATTGACAGTTATGTATCGTACAACCGAAAAAGGGTAACCGGAATTGAGAAGGGGTTAAGAAATCCCTACCAGCGAGGACTGCAGTTCCTATGCATGAGAGGACGCCAGAAAGGAAAGAGTTGAAAGGAAATGACCCCACTATTCCCATGTAAACAACCTGTTTTGTCAGAGGAGAGCATTTCAATAGTTTGCAAATGGAACTGTAAGCATAACAAGGCTGATACCAACTAGTTTGCAACAGTGATGGAAGAAGGGACTTGTGAACTGAACAGAAACTTATGTTCACTCAGTAAATTAGGAGCTTAATAAAAAATTGCACCAAGCTTTAAGAATATTGACTGACCCTCTATTACACAGTAACATCATATTAAAAAAATACAGGTCATGTGCTTGTCTATCAACCCAAACAACAGTAATCCATAACAGCTGCATATATATATGAAAAAAAATGTAAGCTAGATGATGAACTAGAACATATTTCTCTGCATAAAAAAGTGGAAGAAATTTCTGTGTTGACAAATCATCCTTGTCAACAATAAGTGATACGATATCACTATCACCAACAAATAGGAATGTTTTCCATCAAACAAAACGGTATATAGCATTAGGAAAGCATCAAATTTCCAGGGTAATCGTGCCCATCTGCTGTGTACCGCCCTCGTGTTAAGCTATCATTTGGTTGCCTACTTAATTTTTATCTCATGTTTGCTTTTGCAAAGAAAAAAATCCCCAACATGAAAGCATGAAAATATTTTGCAGATAATATATGTTTCAAGGTGTCCTGGTAATTGATTGAGTTACCTGAATAAGGGCAGTGGCGACTGCAAAGACCACATAGAGGTCAATGATCTGCAGAAATATGATCAGTAATTAGCCAATAGTTTAAGATGACAGCTTATAGATAAAAAAAAAGCCAACTAATACCTTGAGATTTGTTGGTGTGGCAGCATAAGCCTTGCCCAGGGACTGAATTAGAAGCTTCGCATCGCTCGTGGCCCTCGGCATCCTCAAAATCTTGTGTGTTCTACATGGAGCAGTTCAAAAATACGATTACCAACGATTCTCTTAAAACAGGTCTGGTGCTTTACTTATGATTAATCTGAATCTGTGCTTCATGTAACCAGTAAAGTTTACTACATCTTCAGTAGCTAGGTATCAAAATCAGATCCTTTTTCAGCACTACAATAAAAACATAATGAGGCCCTAGCATTCAGAATTCAACACTATAACAATAACAAGTGAGGCTCCTCTAGCATTCAGAATTACAGCAAGTATAGGCGCATGAAAAATGCTGGCAGCTACCGGATTGAAGAGCCGCGAGGATGCAAATTTACACAGCTCCTGATCTGCCGGACACTGGCGCAAAAACTTGAAATGCAAATTTACTCACAAATTGTCTTGGAAACAGACTGCTATTTAGTACTTCTTCCGTTTCATATTATAAGACTTTCTAACATTACCCACATTCATATATATGTTAATGAATCTAGACATATATGTGTGCCTAGATTCATTAACATCTATGCGGAGGTAGTACAACACCACGCGAGCAAGAGACAACTCGGGGGCGAAGCCGGAATCGGGAAAAGCTTAAAATAAATCCCGTCGGTTTTGATTGGCGCTCTGTGGGAACGGGAAGCGAATCCCCCCGCGACAAGCTTTGGTTCGAGAACCACGCAAATTTGGTTACAGAAACTGAACCCAAGAACCATGCAATCTGACCGTCCCGGTCGATCACCGTCGTATCCGGCACACGGATCTCGGCTGTGAAGAAGCCACCCCCATCCCATCCCAGATCCACGAGACAAAAGCTAAGGCGGGAGAGGAGGAGTAGTGGCCTCCACGGATCCAAGAAACAGCAGGAACTCTCAAGTGCTCCAGATCTAGGAGGGGTTTAACGCCAAAGAGAAAAGAAAAAAAATCTTCCACAGGTCCGGGCAGGTAGAGAGACGAGAGAGAGAGAGACAGAGAGAGAGAGGGATGTGCGGCGACGGGTTCCTCACCGGCGAGGCGAGGCGAGGATGCGGCGGAGGCAGGAGAGGAGAGGACGGACGGGCGCCGGCGCCGCGCGGGGTGGGAGATCGGCGACGAGGTGTGGAGGATACCGAAGAGAGAAAGATGGAGTGGAGAAGGAGAAGAGGAGTCAAAGAGGGGAGATGGGCTGGGCCGGTCACGCTGGGCCCTGGTCCAGCCGTCCTGGGCCGTCAGGATCGGCCTCTCCAAGTCGTTCCACGGTTTGCCTCACCTGAACCTGCAGCTGCAGGGACACCGTCTAGAGCTAGAGCAAATCACTGTGTAGAATCAGAACATGAGAGAGCTCCATCCAACTTCGCTCCCTTTTTTTTTGATGGAGCTGAAACTGTTTGGCTCCTAGAGCTGGAGCTGGAGCTGTGCAAAACAGGCCCTTAAGGCTGTGTTCTTAGGTGACACCTCTGATACGGAAAACGGAGCGATGGATTAGTACGTGATCAATTAATTATTAGCTTAAAAAACTTCGAAAATAGATTAATATGATTTTTTTAAATCAAATTTTCTATAGAAACTTTTTACAAACCACGCACCGTTTAGCAGTTTGGGAAGCGTGTGCGCGGTAAACGAGAGAGTGAGGTTGGGAACTTGAACCGAAGAGCGCGGCTAGAAGTTCTTTTTTTTTTCTTCCAGGAATTGGACTTCGGAATTATAATAGCATTTTCAGAGGCTAGAGATTCATAATCATGCAAGGTTGGGTTTCAATTTAGGAAGCTTCAGGTTGTGATACTGTCTCGTGGTGTTGATTGGGGTAACAGTGACGGATTGAGAGCCATGGACATGAAAAGTGAGTTTGTAACTTGGAATTATGTCGGTGATAGTAACTTTTTGTAACTTGGAGTAGGTTGGCAAGGAAGATTATTCAGGGGTGTCATCAGAATCCATTTCAGTTTCAGCTCTCTGGAGCTGACCAAGGGATTCGGTTTCCAAATTTCCAGGGCGATAGCGAAATGCTGACTTTAATTTGTGTGTCAACAACATTTAGTCAGTTTTGAGAAGTACTCCAGGGAGTACTCCAATTTTTTGTTATATGGGAGTTTCTCAAAACTTTCGATTGTCTTCAATTTCAGAAGCATAAAGAAACCCTGAAAATGCAGAAATTCACGCTATTAATGAGCAAATATGCAAATAAAATGCACCTGAGAACCTCCACATATAAAGACCATCTGTCCATCTCAACCAGTTAGTTAATTCCTTGCCAATTTATACATCATTTAACTGTAAGCAACCTTAGACTAAACTATGGCAATTTCAAAGTGTGAATTAAATGGAATCAGGTGTAACGAATTCCTAATCTGAAAATGAACACATCAACTAGAACTTGCATGCAAAAAGCTATCTAATTGCAAGGGATGGAAGGAGAGTATAGGTGGCACATAGTATAAAATTCTCTAACAGATAGTAATCCTGCAGGAGCAACAATATTTAGGATTCTAGAAGATTTATGTTGCATAAAAGAGTAAAATAAATGTGAACAATAACTAACCTACAAACAGGGAGTAAATATATTGCTTCTGAATTTTGAATCATATCATGCATATATGAAAACAAATGCAAATATGAAAGCATTTAGCAGGCACATATAGCAGCAGCAAACAACATCAATTAGCAGCTTTTCCAGCAGCTAGGAACATCATTTAGTAGCAGATAGCAGCAACACCAAGCAGCAGTATTAGGGAATCTAAACACATGTGAATCCTTATTTTGTCAAAGTGGTTCTGTTGGAGGCATGCCACGAGAGCCTTCGACCGAGACTGCCGAAACAACCACGCCGGGGGCGAAGTGCTGATTGGTGACCAGGGCGATTACCCTGGGCGAAGCCGCTAGGCGAAGCACGAGGGATTCGCCACCAAGCCAGGGCATCTTCGCCATCGGAATCAAAGGACAGAGAGCCTAAAAGGGCATGTTCACCAAGTAAGGCTCATGTTAGGGCCCACTAAGGGTCCCGTGGCCAAATAGACTTTAGTTGTCCTTATAAAATGTCCCTATCATAAAGGTATCCATGTAAATTTCCCTGTATTTATTAATCCTAGGATGCATGAGCTTGTACCACTACCAATACTATAAATTGTCCCTAAGGAGCATGTAATGGGGATCTAAAAAAATCCAATATTAATACGCTTTGTTTTTACTTTCAACCAAGTGTGAACCACGTTCTTTGACGAACTTAGTTGTCATTTGACAACATTTCTCGAAAGAAAAATTCGACTCTAATGGTGCTGACATTGTGAAAGATTCAAAAGAAGAGGTCATCTGCTCATTATCTACTCCAACAAACACCATCTTAGACCAAGATTTCAAATTCATCGCATTTCAACTGAGGCCCATGTGGGATAGAGAAAGACTAACCTCGGGGACAGAGAAGACAACTGGGGGCTCATCCGAGGCAGTTGTGGGAACGGCGCCGCTGCATCAGATGACCATCCGCCGCTACCTCCGCCACTCTGTGCAGCCTTCTTCCATAGAGTGACAAACTTTTCTACGCTTGCCCACCCTGCCGTCCTCCATGGTCGCCCCGCTTCCACGACCGTCGACCGGGGTCATCCGATGCAGTGGTGAGGGGGAGATGACGAGCAAGCCGGCGTTGAGGGAGCGTTGTGCCGTGCAGGGCCTCGGCGGCCTGAGCGAGAGGTAGGGATGAAAAGCGGCAGCGGCGTGAAAAAAGCAGCGATGGAAGGGAAGGGTAAAACGGTAACATCACTGCTTCCTTAATTTTCACCAAGATGTCCGAAACGTCATAAAAAATATGGAGGGAGGGAGTATATGATATAGAATACACGTACTGGACGCCGAGGCTGGGGATTGATTTTCATTATAAAGAGAAAAAAAAAAGGATAAAATTAGAATTCCTGCTCAGGCTGTGTTCAGCGGATGCAGACTGGGAGAAATTTCCCTCATTCGCCAAACACACACTTCCCAAACTGCAAGAGCTTATAGCATACTCTCTCCGTCCAAATAAAAAAACGAATCAGGATTCGATGTGACATATTCTAGTACAATGAATATGTACAGAGATATATCTAGATTTGTAGTACTAGAATACATCACATCTAGTGCTAGGTTGGTTTTTTATTGGACGGAGGGAGTACTCTCCGTAACAAACGTTAGTTACTTCTATTTTGAACTAAAGAGCAAGGTAAACCCGGCATGGAGTCATCTTCCCCACCCCACATCAGCATTTTCCAGATGAGATTTTCTCCGAGAAACAATTCGATTCCCAGCAACAATACGGAGTACTATATATAGCGGTGGCGCACACGAAATCGCTCGTACGCATTTGCAACGCAACAACAATGCACCTCCGCGCTTGACATGAGACGTGATCATCGTCGTTCGGGACGACGTCACTGGAAGGAGTCGGGAAGGGGGCGGCCGGCGAGGAAGGCGGCGAAGAGGACGAGCGAGCGCTCGGGCTGGGAGAAGGGGGCCTCGTGCGACGCCCCCCTCACCGTGGCGAACGACAGCGCGCCGCCGCCGAACGACTGCGTCCACCCGCCCACCTGCCGCCCTTCGAACCACACCCTGTACCCCGCCGCCGTCGTCCCCAGCCGCAGCCACCCCGCCAGCCGCTGCACCACCGTCCTGCTCCCCGTCAGCGGGATCACCGAGTCCTGGTCGCCGCTGTACACCAGCACCGGGACGCCCGACTTGACGAGGCCGCCGACGATGTTGATGGTCGGGATCTGCAGGTCCAGCTGCTTGTACTCCAGAACACTGCATCGATGTACGTGCATTGTTGTTCAAGGAAAAAAAAACATTAATAAGGAAAAATAATAAATATCTAATTATTAATTTAATAAAAACTAATTTGATGATGTAAATATTACTATATTTGTTTATAAGCTTAGTCAAACTTGAAGCAGTTTGATCTTATAACCTGTAACAGAGGGAGTAGCTTTCTCTAGCAATGCAATAGTACTGAGTGAGCTTGCTGAAGCAGAGGCAAATGCAGATTGCAGAGCTGAATGTTAGCTTAATTTCTCTTGCAATGCAACACAGTACTGACTACTGAGTGAGCTTGCTGAAGTGCAGCAGCAGCAGCAGCAGCAATGCGGCATATTGCGGATTACTGATAAAAGTTTGAGGAAAAATGCACCTGCTGCAGACCGTCCACTTGGGCACGCCGCCTTCGAGGCGGGCGTGCATCGCCTCCTGCACGTCCTTCCGGTTCAGGTACCCCATCGTCTCGTCCTCCACGCACACGTCCAGCTCCCTGCTCCCTCGCTGCAAAAGCAAATGCGCAACACGCACAATAGGTTGTCAGAATCTCGATTCCGTCATACGATTTTACGACTTTACGATCCTAGTTAAGGTGCCTGATTCCACGATTCTATATAGGTAGAATCAACAATTTTACGATTTTCATGTAAACGATTCTATGATTGCTGATTCAGGATCACGATTTTGACAACCTTACAACGCCAAAAAAACAAAAAAAAAACATGTAAAACAACAAGCCTTAACTGCCTCTCTTTTCCTTGTCAGCTTAAACTCTTGGCTGAACTGGTTGGCGCATGCAACTCATCGGTTTGCACAGTAATTAAAATGCATGCCATGTACTCTCACCTGAGGGGCGAGGGATTTGGATTGCATCAAGACCGACGAGACGCAAACGTCCAGGGTGACGTCGTACTTGTCGACAAACCGGCTAGTCTCCCTGGCCACCTGGGTCATCACAGTGTCACAGGCCGAGCTAAGCGAGCCATGGTAGTACTCGCTCACATAGCGCGAGTAGTTGCACACCGTCGTGAAGGAGTGGTAGGTCGAGTCGGAGATGAGGCCGTGCGACCAGAAGAACTCGGCCCTCGAGTTGAAGTCGGTGGCGAACTCGAGGACCGGGTTGCCCAGCTGATCAGGATGAACCAAATGACAACATCTTGTAATTAGGAATTCCAAGACAGATCTCATGAGTTTTGAGTGAAATGTAGCTTGGTGGGGGTGGTGATTTGCTTACAGCAATGCCTTTCAGATTGAACAGCTTCTCCTTCTTGTTGAATTCGACCATGCGCTGCGCTAATTGCGGAACATAGTGGCCTGAAAAACACTTACAGTGCAAGTTAGGGAATGAATTAACAAAATTCACAATTGATCAAAGCAACAAGACAATACAGTGGAGTGGCCTTAAATTACCAGCATAGCTCTCTCCTGTAATGTACAGGTCCCTGCCCTTGTACTGCGGAAACTTGGCAAACCAGCCTTGCAAGAATCTCAAGTTGTCCCTAGCTTAAGAAATTCAAAAGCCCCTCAAAAATGTTAAATCTAACTCTGCGCAAAATTGAGCCATAATTTGGCAAATGCATATATAGAACTCACCTGTCCTGCTATCACCAACACCACCATAGAAGGAAGGGTCAGTGGAGTAGGAGAAGCCCACTCCTGCAGGGCTCTCCAAATACAGCATGTTGGCCTCTGAAAAACCATCCAACAGATGCCTCAAATTTTCTTCGTTCCTCGCAATCTTTTCGCGGCGAAAAAAAGGAACAATAGAAAGCAAAAGAGGGCACAAAAGAAAAAAAGTTTGCTCTATTGTGGTTTACAACATACAAGTTCTCACCTTTGTTCCAGCTATACTCATTCCTCACCAGCACATTGCCACTAGGCCTGAATGGCCCATTCTCTGAGAATGCTCCCACTCCCACTGATGAACAGCCAGGCCCTACACATTGCATATGGGCACCAAAAAGTTAATCTTAACCACCAATAATTCCGGTGTGAACGAATTCTCCCTTTGAATGAGAATCTGGTTACAGAATTCCTCATTTGACAAGCTTAATTACCAAATACAATTCAAAAAAAAAAACAAAGCTCTCTCCCCCCATTTTTGCAGCAAACCAAGAAAATCTTTCCTTTAACTCAATTAACTAAAGTTAAACATGTTTTGCTCTAGGCTCATTCACACAGAAACTAATCTCCCTATCATTTCTCGATTTCACATTTTTTCCCCCACATTACATTATCAACCTTGCACAGTTCTTGCTCGAATGCTCGAGCAATCTCACCTCCCCCCAATAATGCAGCTACATGCACACTGCACAAATGTACAGTACATAAATTTATTAGCTTAATTTAATTTTACCTCCATTGAGCCAGAGGACGAGGGGCTTGGTGGCCGGATCCAGCTCGGCCTCGGCGAAGTAGTAGAAGAGCTCCCGCCTCCTGGCGGCGTCCACCGTGACGTAGCCGGAGTACTGCGCGAAGCTCACGTTCGGCTGCCCAGGCAGCGCCACGATCCTGTCCTCCTCCATGGTGGCCGCCGCCATTGCCGACCACCCGCCGCCATTGCCGCCGACCAGCAGCAGCAGCACGGCGCACACCGCCGCAGCAATGGCGCCTCTCATGTCGAGAGAGAGAGAGAGAGAGAGAGAGAGTGAGTGTGAGTGTGAGTGAGCGAATGCAGCGAGGTGAGATAAGGATAGGTGGCAATAAATAGGTTGGACAGGGTAATCCCAGGCCTCGTGCCCCAGTAAAATGAACGAAGGGTTAGGATTAAATGAAGGGGGAGAATAAATGGTTAGGATTTAAAGATATCTTTTGATGGGTGGAAAATTATTTCCCTATCCTATTTGTCAAACATAGCCCCAACGTTTCACTTATTCATAATTTGTGAAAAAAATTTATATAGTTCTTCTTAGCGATCTAAAAACAAATGCTGAAAAATAAACTTCACTGAAAAACCCTAAAATCAGCTCCAAATATAAGTTAAAAATTTAAATTTTGACTGATAAGCATAAGCATAAGCGATCTCTCATCTTTTGCCCTATATTTATAAGCTGATGTCAAATTTTAAATTTTAATTTTGAAGTTGATAGATTTTGATATATTCTTTTTAATATTAACTTTTAAGTCGCCGAGAGCATATATGTGAAAAATTTATCTATAATTTATTATTATGGGTTATAATCAATTAATCAGCTATAGGCAATCCATGGGACCAGGTGTTCAAGTGAGAGCAGAGCTTAGCTCCATTTGGTTGGGTTCTGATGATGATTTCGCAAAGGTAAAGGTAAAAGGTAGGCAAAAGATGGTGTAAAGTTAGATTTGGGTGTTTGTTTAATTATTTGTGATCTTTTGTTTATCCAGATGATTTTGGGTTTGTTTTGTTTAAAATAGGAGTTTAGGGGGGGGGGGGGTGCAAGAGACAAGCTTAGTTGAGTGTGTGTGCCATGCTTGTGTACCAGTTTTCCATTGGGGAAATCGCTTTGCCTTGTAGATGTTGTGGTGTGGAAAGCTACTTTAAGCTGAGAAACTGGTTCTTTTCCATTAGACAATGGGAGAGAAAATGGAATGTGCACTACCTATATCAACCTAGGTTAGGTTGAGTTTAAGTCTCGCAACACATAATTGTATTTGTATGTGTTACCAAAAAAAGAACACCTCAAAATTTGATATACAAATGATGAATAAAACAATGCATTGTATGAATAGTCATTTGTATTTCAAAGCCTGAATTTATCTTATTGTTTTTATGTATACATAGATTTTTGAGTTGTGTTTATTTATGGTGGTACACATCATAGTGCTGCACATGTCATTGTTTTAATTTCATTTTTTGGTGTGCATATGTAAGTGCTCATTTTGATGTTCAGTAGCACCTCAAATTATATCATAAGTTTAATTACTTGCATATTTCAGTTTTTGTAGGCAGCATTTCAGTTTCATTTTTTTTTCTTTTGGCATGAAACAGGGGAATAGAGCAGGGGCACAAGTTAAAGTTAGAATGGATCATGTGTTTGATGTTTTGATTTCAGTTACCATATATCCAACAATCACTCACATGTGCATCCAATTGTTGTCATTACTAACTTTCAGTTTTCCAACAAGTGGCAATAAATTTTGAAGCCTTCAATTTCAAGTGATCGCTTTATACCAGTGGTACTATGATGATAGGCAAAATGGTTAGGACATAATGCAACTCTATTTTACGGACATCCTAGGAATGAAGTGGCCAAATGCTAAATTTTACTTTCTAACTTCCTCCACCCACAAATGCAGGGCGTCTATATGCTGGTATTTTGCATTGCAGCAGCCCAAAGGGGAGATATTTTTGGAATGAAGGAATTTCAGAGGTTTTTTTTAGGAACTCCTTTGGAATGTGAACCAATTCATGTGAAAATTTTGGAATTTCTAAAACAGCCATGAACTGCATCCTCTTTATTTAAGATGGAGCGGATATAGACCGATTATAATTCTATCACAATACCAAGCACAAATCCAAGTCCTAAACTATAACCGATTTTGTACATGTATTTGACACCAACTTTAACACTTGTGTTTCAAAGAAGCACTAAAACTTAAATATTTAGCCATATGGCACAAATAAAAGGAGCAATACACATTTAATTTGTATTTGAGGTATTAAATATGACTTATATTTGTGTGTAAAAACTAACTAAAAATACTACGTCTTTGCACGGAGGGAGCAGATAAATGCAAGGGCAGATCTACCACCCGGTGACCCCGGGCAGCCGCCCGGGCTCGTCGGCGGCTAATCCACTAAAATCCAATATAATTAGAAAAAAATAAAAATAAAATTTCTACAGTAAATATTAGCTATAATGAAGTCTACTCATGGTCCAAAATATTTCTAGATCCGCTACGGGTCGAATGCACGTCACAAAATTAACTGCTGTACCATTTCTGCCTTTAACTCGCACGTTGTCACGGCCATCTAGTACACCTTACAAAGCTGAAAAATATATGTAGATTTTCTTAATCCATACTACGGTTGAACGGTTTGATTAGTTGAATCCGTAGTGTCAGCCGTACACATGTTCGTGTGCTTTGTTAGTGGTGGCCTTAGTAATTTCATGAGAGAGGAGGTGTAATACATTCCAAAGTTATTATTGGATCTGATGGCCACATGTGACCGGCCGGCCGGGCCCACACCCCGTCCTCTCCTTTTTTCTGACGACGGTGAGGAAAAAAAGAAGAGCTATCGTTGATCGTCGTCAGATTGACAGTCGAAACTCGGAACAGTAATTGATCGATTTGCAGGCAGTATTGTCGCTCAAGCTAACCTTCCACTTATCGTGTCAGTATTGAGATGAGGGATTTTTTTTTTGGGGATTATACAGGGTAAAAAGGTTTAAAGGCGTAGTTTCATGATGTAAAATTGTATGGGGGCAAAATGGTCGTTTTTTTTGCCTTTTTGACCTTGGGGTGTGTTAGAGTTATTTTTACAACGCTCCATCTTGGCTGGTGGCTCCGTTGAAACTGAGCCATGGTGAACAAGAGAGAAGAAGAAAATAGGGCGGACAAAAATGTTTCGGTGTGTTTTGTAGGAGTACATGGCATAATTTTTTTATTTTTTTAAGTCAATTGTATCTACGGTTAAATAACTTGGCACATGGGTGCGATATAACAGTTAGGTACATTCTAATATAAGAAATTGACAATTTAGTATTTTGGTGTAGCAACTTGGCTAAGCATGTGTTGTCTTGGTTAACGAGTGCTAGGTGAGTTTTTTTTCTCCATGTTAATATGTCAGCACATAGGAATCCTACCGATATTAGAATTTAATTTTTAAGAATTACATTGTGCTTCCAATTTGCCTACCGGTATGGATTTTTTTATCTTCTCGAATCTAAATCGAAATATAATATTTTTCTGAAAAATAAAGTTTAATTAACTTTCAGTTATTGGAATGAAAATTTAAATATGCCTACACTAATCCATGTTAGTATATTGTTAAAATAAATATTAAATATGTATACCAAAAAATTCTTGAACTAATTAAGTTATTGAATCACTTCTTAATTTATTGTACCAAAATCGTATCTACCTTGCAAGTTATTATACTCATACATTCACTTATAAAGTGTTACACTAAATTGCATCCATTTATCAAGTTGTTGTACTAGGATACTCATTCCTTAAGTTCTTTCACCAAATTACACCTATCTGTCATGTTGATACACTACGAGTGTAATTTACTCTTTTTTATTTGTTAGCTTAAAATTGAACTGACCAACATCAAACATTTGGAAGAAAGGTAGTATCAGCCTTGAAGAGAGAATATGCGATATATGGAGAGAAGAAACAGGAGAAATATACTATACCTTATCACTTTGCCCATATAAAATATGTGCTAGATTGAGCATCATGGATGTTAAGGAAGAAGAGACTACCAGGCTAGATTCGGTGACGTCGGACACCAGAACCACTACTAGGTGGGGGAGGATGCATGGATGGCAGGGAAAACCAGATAGGTGACATATATGCTTAAATTATTTATACGAATTATTGCTATAATACACGGGATATTTTATCTAGTTGGGATAACTGTCTGTCCAAACAGATGGTATAATATATGACTTCAATAATTGTTCATCCAACGAAAAGCACTACGCTTTGCCTTCATGACCATTGTATTGTCAATGTATAATTAGCTGTTAATGCTAAATATAAGATTGTTGACCAGATATAATTATGGTTGTAAATAGCATGTTAAGACATTTAGCGGTTCACCTTCTCAAACAGCTACAACGGGCTAAATGAAACTATAATGACTAATTTGTACATTAGAGCAAATACCTAGGACACTTCTCAAACAGCTATACCCGGAGATTTAAAACTATGTATAATATGGTGGCTGGAAAGCTAACCTGTGTGAGCTAAAGGTGCAGGTGTAGTGCATAGAGTTCACCAAATTAAGTTCAAATCGACATATCACTAGCTATATCTACTAATGTACTAATTCTATGAATATGTCAATACAATGAGAATACTTTAGCGTCTCTAACAATTTTAAGGGAGTGCTTATGTTATATTTGAAAAAAAAACCCTCGCGCATCTCGGTCACTTTTTGAACAGTCCAGATCATTTTGAGATTCGTGCAGCTATACTGCCTTCGTTTATCTTCTCCCTCACCTTCTCCTCACTCATAATCGATACGCTAGAGCAACCAGCCCCCATGCTACCAGCACCGACGAGACCGTCCCGACCAGCCTCCTACCCAAGATAGATGGCAGTGATGTGCCCTGTCCGGCGCATCGTCTTTCCCTTCATCACCTCTACTGAAGTTGGGGTGTCGCTGGTACCGAAAAAAACGAGAAGCTCGTCGGAGCTGGATGACAAAGAGCCAGGTAAGAATCTTAACTCGAATCTGATGGTCCAAAAATCTCTCCCCATTCCCTCCCGTAAATACTAAAAAAATAATGTAAAATGAAGGTTAGCAATTCCACATTTTTTTAGCATTAGTATATCTTTTCAGATAACTAAAATATTTTACATTCTCAAACACTTTTTTTTCAGAAAACACAAATAAATAAGACCTTCAGTTAGAATCAGCGACACTCTCAGCTACTTTCCCATGCATGATATATGCAGAGCTTAAGTTTAACCTTACTGTCTTTCTCATGATAACTTATTTCAAAGACTTTCCTCATTATAACCTTATATTCATCTTGACTAAAATTT